AATTGTAAACTGTAATTTAAAAAAAACCCAAAGTTGAAATTTCAAAACCTTCTGTTAACCAATGATTATTCTGATCAACTCGCAGAAAATTTACCATGGCTTGAGTACCCAGTCATTCCAAATATTAACCCTAATTGATCCTGGATCAAATATTAATGTTTGCTTCTTTATACCATCACTTATCAATTGCTGATTGGTTACAGTATTTTTCGAAGTATAAGACACACCAAGATTTTGAAGAGGCAAATTTAAAAAAAAAAATTGCATTCTGCAGACCTCCCCAAAACGATCTGTTTTTCGCAAAAATGGGCCCGTTGTTTTTTTTTTAAAGGGCATGAATAGCCTTTAGGAAGCTTGTAGAGCGCTCTTGGGGGGGTGCCCCCCCCCCCAAATGAGCAAAAAATGGCCCATTTTAATAAAATCTAAAGTCACATGCCATGTTTCCATATGGAGAACAAAAATCAAGGAAAGAAAGCAAAAAAAAAACAACAGAAAGAATTCAGGGGTTGAAATAAATAAGAATTCAGCCTTCCAATTAACCTTTGAAGATATAAACAAAAACAAAAGTTTAAAAAGTGAATTTAAAAATCCCAGTCATGCTTATGATAATGTGCTCCTGATTGAGGATAGCAACACCCATTGATTTTTCAGGGAGCTGCAAGGCTCCCCCTCCCAGGTGGATCCACAGCTATCCAAAAGTCATCTTTGGTCAATCCTAAATGCCACCTTTCAAATCCAGGAGGCACAACTGCCAAAGAATCAGCTCTGGCCGCAAACCCAGCAGAACATAAGAGAAAAAATCCTTATACCTCAACACTCATTTTGGGGAAGAATTTTGCTCTTGTACTTCTGAATTGGTTTTAAGATAGGGAATCCATTAGCTGAAATTGGTTCTCACTAACAGAATACTAGCTCCCTCCAAAAAGCCAGTTTCAAAGAATAAAAAATGATTTGATAGAGATTGCGCGCAACTAAAAAGGATATATAATATGGAGTACAGGAAAAGAGCCAAGGTGGCGCAGTGGTTAAATGCAGCACTGCAGTAGACTTATATACCGCTTCATAGGCCTTTCAGGCCTC